CCCAGCAGAGGCCGGCGGGTGTTGCGCCTGGATCTCCGGCCTCTGTCACCACAGAGAGGCCTGAGGGTGTTATGCCTGGGGCCAGAGCGGCCGTGGGTGTCGTGCCTGGAGGCCCAGCCTTCGAGCATCTGCGGGAGCACGGCCAGCGCCACCATCGACGCCCCAGAGAGGGACTGGAGAGGCCCCGGGGACAGGGCTCCGTCTCCAGCGTCTCTGGGACGTCTCCACAGCCACCAAGCCTCCTGCATCCGTGAGCTGCAGCATTGGACACCCATGTCTGCCCACGCCGCTACAGCCGCCACAGTCTTTGCGTCTGTGTCTTTTGCCCATCGGGAATGGGTGTGGACAGGCTTGCCCTGTGCCAGGCGCCCCGCGTGCCACCTGGCGTGACCAGTGCCGTCCTGTGGGACGGGTGTGCGGTCCCCATTTGACAGAGGCAGGCCTGCTAGTGGGTGGAGGGGGCCGGAGCGCGTGGAGTTTTCTCTCCAGCTCAGACAGCGCCTCCTGTTCTATCATCTGGGCAGAAACCCTCATGGCGCCGGCAGGATAGGTGGGCGAGCGTTTGCTCCCCTTCGCCAGGCGGGCCTGGTCCCCGGAACCCCAGCCTGGCAGCTCCCGAGGACCCTTGACAGTCCAGGGGACAGCCCGTTGTTCTCACGCGTGTAAGAATCCTGGCTACACTGAGGGTGAGGATGAGATTTAGTTTTTATTTTTGTTGATTTATTTTTTGAGTCAGAGTCTCACTTTGTCACCCAGACTGGAGTGCAGTGGCATGCTCGTAGCCACTGCAGCCTCAACCTGCTGGGCTCAGTCGATACATTTGCCTCAGCCTTCCAAGTACCTGGAGCTGTGGGCACGCACCACCATGTCCAGCTAATTTTTGATTTATTGTAGAAACGAGGTCTCGCCAAGTCGCCGGGGCTGGTCTCGAACCCGCGGGCTCAGGCAATCCACTCACCGTGGCCTCCCAAAGTGCTGGGATGACAGGCTGAGCCACCGAACCCGGCCCAGGGGCCTTTTAAAGGCCGGCGTCCAAATTAGCTGGGCATGGTAATGCGCGCCTGTAGTTCCAGCCACTCAGAAGGCTGAGGCGGAAGGATCGCTGGCGTCCAGCAGGTCGAGGCTCCGGTGGCCGGGAGCGGCCGCTGCACTCCAGTCCGGGCGACAGAGTGAGACTCCG